AGAAAATAAGTGATGAGTTAGGGGTAGACAGAAATGCTTCCAAGCAACAACCCATTACCTGGTTTCTTTCCCTGTAACCAAAGGCAGTTCAATACGAAAATCTAGAGTATTACATCTGGTCCAATCTTACTAAATCATCATTTAAAATTCATATTTGCTTCTGTCTGTTATAGAAGATATTAAGGCAAAAACAGTGCTCATGGAGACCATAGAGTAGTACTACAGGTACAGTTGTTTTAAATACAGAAACAAAAGCTGAACTTAAATGAGGTTACAATACTAGTTTATTTCATTTGTAGAAATATTTTCATCAAAAGTCATCTCTCGTTAGCCAGAGCTGAATCTATAGCGGCCAGTTGTGTGGATATAAGTACATGGCAATACTTGATGTAGTTGTAATTTTCAAAAGATATTTGGTAGTGCTGTTCACCATGACTTTATTGCTATTAGCTCCACAACAGTACTTGTCTGAACCTAAAGGTGATGTAGAACAGGAACTAGTGCTTTACCAAGCACTAGTTAATTGCTGAGAGCTGGAAAATTTGTCTTGTTAGCTTCAAACAGAATACAAACATTTGATTTTCCAAATTTGTATTAGAAAATTATTTATATAATGCTTCCAACATCCTTGATTTAGAATATTAAAATGGGTATTAGAAAAGGGCAGGATATTCCAATTTAAATTAAGAAGCATTAATGCATTTGAAAAACAAAGTACAAAGGATTCTCTAGTAACAACTTGCCAATTTCTACTAAAATATGCATGTCCAAAATACATATTCTGTCTACAATACATACTCTATCTACATACACTATATATATACACAAATACAACCAGTACCTTATATAGCATACTGTCCTACATACTCTACTACTATAGAATCTGTCTCTGCATAAATCAGTACATAGCAACGCACAGTTCCTATAATTATAATAATTAGGGCTAGAAGAATATGAATTTCTTGGAGGGATATTCTCTAGTGAAGAGCTCAAAAACGACACCAACTAGGCACCAGAGAAAAATCTGCCTTTTTGCAGTGTGTTACAAGTGTTCTCACTTCCAAAAAGCTAGCAAATTATATTGAAATGAAGTCCAGCCACTTTAATTCATTTTGAACATCAACACAGGAGGATATCAGCAATTTAATTAATTATCTGCACCTGCATGATTGAAGATCCTTAAGCAGGAGCTTTTGGGAAAAAAAAAAAAAAGATACAGGAAAAACATAGGACATTTTAAAGGTCTGTTTTTGCACCATCTGAATACCAGCTTTTGTCAATTTAGAAAGCAGCTGAAAGTTCATGAAAGACTTCATATGATTGCTTTAAATAGCTACAGCTTAATGATACTTACAAAGATTGCTTTAATTTAAATCAGTATTATGTGCACTGAACTGACATTTGATACAATAATGTAATATAATAACACAATAAAAGTAACACAACATAATAATGTAACTCATTTCTACCTCAAACTACTTTAAGTGACTTTAAAACTCTGAAGCCTAAGATTTCTCGGTGAACTCTAACTGGATCAAATCAAAAGTAGCTTTTATCACATTTTTAAAGTAGTAGTGGGAGAACTAGCTAACCACCAAATTTCAGAGCAGAAAGCCCTCTCGAAAGTCAAAATTATGCTGCTTCAGAGGCTGGCAGGCCCTTGGCGATCCATTCAGTAACTCTAAAAATCCATGAAAAACAATTAGAAAAGATAGGGGAAAACTTTGTTATCAGAAACCTCAAAATTCTCTTTACAAGGGCCATTACCTGATACTGAAGAACCTAAGAGTCTACAAACCAAAAAAAAAGGGATGAAAACACACTATTATTCATCAGCCAAGAGTAAAAAGAGAGCAAAACAGGCTAAAAAAGGAGTGTCTTTGAAGCGGCAGAAAAAGGGGTAGAATGAATACCTATGTAACCTAAACGTTTTCAATCAGCAGGCTTCAACTACAGATCCCCTCTGATCATGACAGAGGGGCTCAAACATTCAAATTTTAACTGAGAAATTCTAAACATTACTTAGAAGTGAGTGAATCTAAATGTATGAATTTTCTGAGCTAAGCAAATATTACAAAACTAGAAGAAAACAGCTTTGAGAAAATATGGTCTTGTAGTTAAGCTCACTAAATAAATCACTGGGGGTGGGGAAAAAAAAAAAAAAAAAAACAAGGCCCTTGTTATTGGGGAAGATCAAGTTTTCAATACCCTAAGACTTCTCCTGTATTTCATATTAGCATCAATAGACACAGTATTTTTAAATGTAAATAATTTAATCGCCTGTGTTTTATATATCAGGTTCATTTAACAGTTGTCTTTGGGTTTTTATTTAAATATGTGATATTTCACCACCAAGAAGCAAGTTAGCCAAATAAAATACCTTTCTAGGGGAAACCATAGCAAGTAACTAATATAACCTATATTTTCTTTAAAATTCAAAGTATACAAAGTCTCAATTTTAGGCATCCCTTTTATCATATACCTGTCAAATTACTGAGAACAAGGATACTCACACACTGACATCTAGGATCTTAATTAATTAGAAAGATGTTTTTACCTAAGCAAATCAAATTTAGAGATGAGAAACAAAGAACATAGCACATCTCTTTGGATCTGCTGACAGACTGGTTTTCATTATTCTTTATTTCATGATAAGAAAGAAAAATAGTCTATCAAGTACCTTTCACTCTTCTGAAGGAATGAAGGAGATGGTGCTAGGCTAAAATCATTTCTGAGATCCAGGATACACTTAATGCCTATTTGCCTCCTAGCTATAGGACGGTGTTGTGACCAAGAAATTTCCTCTAATGCCATCCCTAACTGAATGGCAGCTAAAAATGCTCTAATCACTTTTTACCTTCTTAACCTTTTCAGGAATTTAAAATGTAGTTGCTTAAATTCCTGAAGCATTTTCATGAAGCTTGCTTTAATGGGCAACATAATCCAAAACAAAGCAAACAAAGGGAATCTTGTTTTGTCATATGTAACTGACATTAATCTTTTCTCTGTAAAGAAAAGTATTATTTAAAAAATGTACATTAAATGTCAAGTGTTTAAAAGTTGATAGTTCTGTTCTAGTCTGATTCTAAAATTTGGGTACTAAATCCATTACTCTTGCAGTTTCTAAACTGAGGTGCATCTTTCAAGAAAGAACAACGTAACAGACTTGCTTTTGAAATACTTCCTTGCCAAGCATGCTCAGACGCAGAAACACAAACACAGTATCTGTATGTAATCTTTCTCTAACTATATGGAAATAAAATGACTGCTGCTGAATGCCAACGGTAGTGCTCTCCTCACTCTTCTAAATAGGACTTTCGTTTCAGGACTACTAGGACCTGTTAATTTTCACATGTGCTATGTTCCCCAAATATATGTGTGTAATTACACGTGTAATTCTGACTCATATTTAAAAAGCACTATTTGAAAAATTCAAATTGAACAGCTTATACTTTGTCACTTTACCTGCAGAAATAAATCACACACTGAAAATCATATCAAACTGGAAAGCTCTCTTGCTGTACATAAAGCACCCTGAAATGCAGAATTTGCCAGTTCTCTTGCTCAGAGACCTTCCTATACAGAGCGCTTTTTATCTGTAAGTGTGTTTGTCATAAACATGAAGGGAGGTCTGAAGGGTAGAATGGGAAATGTATGAGGGAGGTAGGGAAAAATGATTGATATTGTATCTTTTAGGATCCCCCCCCCCCAAGTCATCTCTACTGGACAAGGTACTATAACCATGAAAACCAGGTCAAAAGCCCACTGTGAAGTTGAAAGAAAAACTTGAATACTCTGCAAATGCTATTAGGCTGAACACTCTGTTTTTACGGTCATTGAGCTTTATCATATAGCAACTTCAGACATATTTCCTAGTCATTTTAATCAAAAAATCTCTGATATTTCACACTGACCTGCGAACCACCAGTGAGACTATATTATACAAAACCAGCTTGATATTCTTGAAATAGAACATTTACATAAATTCTCCACAAAAGAACACCTAACATTCTGAACTGTGACAATACAGTCTTGTCCAAATTCAGACAACACTACACTAATAAAGTCTAAAATTGTTTCTACCAAAAATAGCATGGGTTTTGCAAGTGCAAGCTCCTTATACAGATTTCATAAACTCCTGAACACAGTGCTATAAATACAAATGTTTCTTGGCTGAAAATAGCTACCTTTCAGAGACGGTATTGCTAATCTTTCTCCAACTGTTTTTTTTGCCTAGTCTCAAGAACTTACTCCAGAGTCTCAGCTCTTGTCAGTCCCCGACTCTTGATGCTTATCCTCCATGATGCTTGTACCACACTATTCTTTTTGCAAAAGCAGGGCATTAATACCATTTCAGAAGGAAAGAGGCAGCCAAGAACTGCCCAAAAGCTACAGCCTTCTTCAACACTAGCAGTATTACAGCTAGCTCACTACACTCTATTTTGCTAGAGGAATCCCAGTGAAATATCCTTAAAAACATTACTTGCAGTGGTACGCTCCAAGATGTCAAGGTGAAGCACCTGGGAAAGCTTAGGAGGCCACACGCTGCAGAAAAGCCTGGGCATGGCAGTGCCAATTTATTCAGTTCCCCAAGGGACAAGAAGGGCAAATGTCCACTGAAAGGAAGGCCCTGGAAGTACGGTAGGGACGCAGGAGTGAGTCTTGCTGCTGGTGAGATTCTTCGTGGAGGGAAAGTTAAAAACAGCAACAAAAATAAAAGTATGGTTTTGAAAACTGGAGAATGGTGGTCTTTGAAAGATCAGAAGCCATGCTGAAGCCCGGAAAAAAAAAGTAATAATAATAAAATAAAATGAGCTAGAAGGGAAGTGAGGGCTTCAGCAGGGCCAGGGTGGAGCAGGAGGCGGGACAATGACCTAATAGGTCTTTTGCTATCTTTAGTTTCCGCGGCGGCCGCGAGCAACAGGCGCCGGGGTGGCAGGTGGGCGCCGCACCCCTCCTTCCCGCTCCCGCCCCTCACCGCGACCTCCGCGCGGCCTCACCTTGAAGACCTTCCCGAAGGCGCCGTCTCCCAGCTCGCCGATGATTTCCCACAGCTCCTCCGGGTTCAGGTCCCTCTTGACGTGCTCGTACTGCTTCTTCTTCTTCTCACCGCCCAGCTTGAAGATCTTGCGAAAGTTGAAGAAAGACATTTTTTTTTTCTCTCTCTCTCCTTTTTATTCCCCTTGTCTCCTGCTGGGCGCGGGATTGGAGGGGGGAGCAGGAGAGGTGGCGGCAGGCACCACGGGGGACTCACGGCGACCCTCGGGGCCGTTAGAGGGAGATAAAATCGACGGAAAAAAATAAATAATAAAAATTAAAAATAAAAGGGGATAAAAGCAGGGCTCT